TTATGATTTAGGCTTTACAAATCAATAATTAGTGGTATTTTTGCAATTACCCCAAAATTATAATTAACAAATTTTTAATGTTTTTAAGTTTAAATTATTTAATTTTTATATATACTTAATATTGAGAAACTAAGTTGGATTTAGAAAATAATTTAATAAAATATAATTATTTTGTAAACTTTAATACATTTTTAAACATAGTTATTTAATTTTAATAAAAAAAGTTTTATAAGCTTAATTAATTAATTTATTTTAAAACATTCTGCAAGATTCCACTGTTACCATTTAAATTCAAAGTTATTCTACAAAATTCCACAAAAAAAAACTAAAAATTCTGCAAGATTCTTTAATTCCGCAAAATTCCTCCGGTACCATTTACACCATTTATACATGTTTTGATGAATTTACAGCATTGGTTGAGTTATCAAAGAGTTTTTGCCGTGAATCTAGCTGAGGAGAGTGGTGTGCTTGCGGTTCTGGGGAATAATAGTGTCTTTTTTTTATTTTAACACTGAAATTTTATTTTATTTAATAGAGTCAATCTACAACCGATTACCTAAAGATACTAATAGATAAGGAGAAACCAAACAATTCCTCGCACATCAATAAAGGCTATGGTAATAAATCAAAATCCAAAAATTTGTGAAAAAAAAAAACAGAAACACATAACTAGATCTTAATTAAAAACATAACATAATCCAATATAATGTGGAAGATAATAGATCATCAAATCTGTTTCATTGTCTGTTTTCATTGCTTGAAAGCCGTTTGAAGATATAAAACCGACTTGAAGAATTTTATTTACTCGATCAACACCTTTAGAAATTTGCCTTCCTTTGTACTTTTAACAATTCCCATAACAACTAGATCTACTGCAAAAAAAAATCTCTTAAAGTAGTGAAAACAAATACTAGCCTCATCACCTTCTTGGATCTAGCACATCCATCTATTCACCAACTTGGCGTCCACCCATAGAGAACAAAACCCATTGTAAAAAATAAAAAGAGGCAAAATCACATAAACCTGATGAAATTGCAAACCTGATTATGCTTGTTGTTTTGATAAACTCTACTTTGTTACCAGTCGGAGAAAAATAGTATTTATGTTCACATAAAATTTGTAATTGATTTTTACTCAGTTAGGGTCAACTGGCTTTTCTGTTTATTATGTTTATGGTCATATGTTGTTAAGTTTTGTCAACTCTTTTAGGAAAAATAACTCATATTGGTTAGAAAAAATAAGAGATAATCGCATTTTTTACCTTCAAAATTACAATTACTAAAACTTTAAACTCTGGTAGAATGACATTCTCACTATAAATCTTTAAACCCGGAAAACTGGCACCTTAC